GAAATAAAAGCCATGAAGATAAAGTCACTGTGAAACGACACTATCACCAGCTGATGTACGATCAGCCGCTCGCCATGTGTTGCGCTGTGTGCGAGCTAAAGGTCAGCCGCTGACTTTGTGATGAATTCGCTGAACGGAGGTGGGGGTAAAATACAGTTACRGCGTGGCGGCAAGACGACATTATCTCATCTCATAAGAACAAGAGATGATCAAAGATCTCATCGTGATTTCCTCTTTTATGTCTGCTCACAGGCGTTACATTGCTACATGATGTAACGACAAAAAGCAGAGAGCGCAGGGTTGTTGGACTTGTTAGACGTCTAATGAGTGCCGGTGTTGTGCCGTCATTATGCAGCAAGCACTCCTTCTGCTCTCTGTCTTCTCTGAGAGATGAAACAAAAAACAAAAAAATTAAAGTTTTTGATGGCTCTAATGGCACAAAAACAGAAGGTGGAAATTAAAACACACACACAAAAATAAATGAGCGACATTAAAAAGGGTTATTGAGCAGATAGATTTTGACCATTTTCCTCACAGCTTTTCCCTTTTCACTTCATTAGCCTGGTTAGACTCCCCACCCCGACGGTGACCAGTGGGAGGTATCAAAGTGACATTTTCCCCGTCGAATTGACCGGGCTGCATTGATATGAAGCTGCCGGCGGCGCTGCTTGGTTAGAGACCTCCCATGCTGCTCTGATTGCTTGGGAATGGGCTGAAAAACCTGTTGGGATTGTTAAAAGGTCCTGGGAAAAAAATAAGTAATTTGTGGCTGTTGATAAGGAGGAAAGCCAGTCCACACTTTAATGAAATAAGGTGAGGAGAGGAAATGTGTACGGGCAGAGGGAGGAGAGGAAAGTCAATGAAATGGAAAAATACAGGTAATGCAGGAATGTCAAAAATAAATATGGAAAGATATTTTTATTTTAAAATACGGAGTAATTCAAACCAAAGCATTGTTGTTCCAACTGAATGGTTTAAATATGAAAAGAAAGGATTTAAAAACATCATTTGTCTACTTTAAGTGTTAGCATTAATCTTATCCAACATGGCCGCCACAGCAAAGCAATTACAGCAAACAAAAAAATGTCTGAATTAATCAGCTGTTGTGCTAAAGTTTGATTCAGTCGCTGCTGAGATTGATCGCTAAGTGATGCTGTAAATAACTGATCTGTGTTTAAAMGTTTAGCAGTACCTGTTGGAGTCAATTCAGCTTGTCTGTTAGCAAAATATTTCCTAAAACACCGTACAAATTTCAACAAAACTCTCAAAGTACTGGCTGCGCATCTAAAACTGAAAAGCTTTTGAAATCAACTAAATTCTGCTACCTTTCATTTAATTTGATCTGTTTTTTTCTTTTTTGTATGTGAATTTGTTTTGTTTTTTGAATTAAATGAATAAACAAAAAAAAAAATCAAGATGGTTGTTACAGTTCAGCAAAATTAACCAACACAAAAACATTTTTTATTAAGTTAAAATTTGGTGTTTCAGTAGCATTTTCAAAACATATTCCAGCACTAACAGAGGGGTGTCAAATTCATTTTGACTGAGGGCCACATCTGTGCTATGGTCAAAGGTTCAGTTATAATTAACTTCAACATCTCATAGTAACTTCAACTAAACAGAAATTGTCATTTTCCTCATCTTGTTGCTAAGACTGAGCCCCGCTAACAAACAATAACTGAGCTCTATGTGGTATTTCCTGCATAGAAACAGTGTTTTAATACGTCCTCTTTTAAACACTGAAAAGTACTATGTGTACAACTGACTAAATGTGAAATAAATAATACAGAAATATTATTAAAAGTAAGAGTTTTACTCACTGTTAAGTTGTGCTAAGTCTTGAATTCTGAACTCTCCCACTTTCTGACAGAGAATTCCCATGCAYAATYAATATATGCATTATGGGAGATGTAGTTTGTAGTCAGGGATACTCAGCTAAATTGCTCAGGGGGCTACAGTTAAAGCCAACAGCTCAGGGGCAGGACAAATATTATCTTTCACCTTTTATATGTGTTTGTTTTGTTGCATAAAATCATAGATTTAAAGTTCAATGTTGATATCAAAACTATTTAAAAATTCGGCATAAAAACAAACAAAAAAACTGATGGAAGTCACCTGTGGGCCGCATTTGGCCTGCGGGCCTTGTATTTGACACATGGGCACTAACAGATTCTCCTCAAGATCAAACCAAAATGGCTACAAGTCTGTCGTTTCTTACCAACAACAACAGAAAAAAGATCTTAGATTATATTTCTGGTATGGAAGTCAGCAACAACATACATTCTGTCAAAAAAATGTTAATTCCTTTTGCAAACAGCATAAACAACATCAATAAATACAACATCATCTTATATATTTTTACATTAGGTTAAAGATGAATTCTCTGTTTTYGACCTAAAAGAAATCCATCTGACTGTGATTTCATCTTAAGATGCAAAGCTGCATTTGAAACTCATATCTAAAAATGAAGTCATTCTTCTTTTAGAAAAAAAAAACTTAGTTTGGAAGCCTAAGTACTGAATTGTGAATAATTTTCTCTTCACACACACAACGGTTAACAGAAAAAACTGTGATTCACACCAACATGCTGCAGATAATTACCCCAACTGTTTCTCTGCCACAAACTGAAAGTCATTTCGCCGTTCGTATGGAAATGAACTGTACGTTCTCCGTGACATCCATCACTCCTATCAAAGCCGYGGATTCCAGCATGAGTTCTTTTTTCATTCCTGCATGATGGCGTGTGAGAGATCACTTCGCTGTGCTACAAAGTGGATTTTTCAAACATGTGGTAAACCCACGCTGTGAGAAGACCTATTTTAAAATAAACCAACTGGTTTCATCCAAACTTAACCAAGAGTGAAACCCCTGACTCGGCGGGTGAGAGGAGAGGAGGCGAGGAGAGAAAAAGGGGGAAATCTAAAGTATTTCATTTTAGACAGTTGATCATGATGAGTTAACAAATCGCTGTTTGAAAAGGAGACAAGCTCAGATTTTCTGAAAATCTTTTGGTTTCCCTCCATCGTCTCCAGAGTCCATTTTTGTTTGGTTTATTTTGAGTAAAAAACGTTTTCCCCAAATTGGTTTGTTTTAGACAAAAAAAAAAAAAAATAAAACCATCCTCAAAATTTTKTTTAAAGCAGTTTGTCTTTTAAGCAAACTAAAATAAAAGTTAAACAAAATAAAATAAACATAAATAAATCCTGCTCTGTCCGAAATACTTGTTTTATGGTAAAGTAATTTCAATTAGATTCATAGCGATAGCATTTTTGACCTCATGTAAGCAAAGCAACAATGCACCAGAATAGATTTGTTGTTTTGGGTGGAGGTCCGAGGGGGTGGGGCTCGGTGTGCCCGATGGATAGCCCTTCATCGGAGCTGAATAAAAAAACAAACAAAAAAAATTGAATCTCCTACGTTGAATAGTGTTTGAGTTATAAGCATTTTTGTAACTCCAGGCAACTGCTTTTCAGATGGAGCCCCCTCCTCAAATATGGGGTCTATCGTAAAACTGTTGGCTGGAGCAGTGTAGGTCAGACACATCTACATTCCTGCCAAATTTCATGTTGATCGATGCAGCTGTTTTCGGGATATGGTTGACCAAAAATTACTGGAAAAAAAGAAAAAAAAMCAGTACAAAAACCATATGACCTCCGATTCACGTGCTGGTGTCATAAAAAGTTCTAACAACCCCTAGAGATGAGTCAGTTTTATTGATTTTATGCATTTTATTTTTTCAGAAATACTAAAATTTAATGGGTAATAATTGTGCRCAACGAAATAAAAATGTTTTTGTCCACATTCCAGATGGGAAATGATATTTAGTTATAAATAGTCACCTAACATTTTGTTTTTATTATGAAACCAGCTAAATTTTAAAATGATTATTTCACAACTTTTATTTCTTTTCAGCCGTTATCATCTCCCTTAAGGTTACAGATGTTGTTTATGATCTAAAAGTAGTTTTTCTTGAGGGCAGCGAATGTTCAGAGTTGACGCCGAATTCAAAGCCGATAGTTTCAGAGAATAATCCACCTGATGCATGTTAACAAAAGTAAATGCAGTAATTCAAATAAAGAGCCGAGAGGAATGTGCAGACTCACACAACTCTGCCTGAAGCTAATTTAAAATTGCAAAAATGCCTTCAGGAAACACGGATCAGTATTCAAAACTCCGCCAAAGTTCAGAATGTTTTTAATCCATCAGCGGCGCGTGGATCTTTAAAGGCAACCTTGACGACGTGGAAGGTTGTTCAGACCAATTTGTAGACAAAGGTGGGTAGAAACGATCCGGTGGGGGAAGTCGGTTGGCAGATGAAGCCTGAACTGATGAGTTTCACACATGCTTAAGAGCCAACAAACTCCAGCTCGGGGGCGGGCGCCGTCTAATTCGTTTTATCCCATCGTGGACTTTGAGGGTCCAGCAGATGTTCGGGATCATCGGTGTCAACATCTCGTTATAAAAAAAAATAAGCGAAGGTTACAAACATAATTTAAAGGAAGACKGGCGCCTACAGTCCCACTTACTTGTGGCTAGCTGGTGCGATGTATCAAAGAATGCTGGAGCTCATTGACTTTCAGATGTGACAGGCGGAATGGGTTTTTCCTCCCGCTGAGTCATCAGGCCTTGTTTACTGATGAGGCTTATGAATCAGTGTTTCTGCCCCGAATGAACGAAGCGGGACGGCGGGAAGCTCCGAGACGCCGCCCAACAGGAATCGTTCCCGCTGAAGACGAGGCACACGACGTGAGAATCAGATAAGAAGAAACGCCACGGATGTGTCTGTAATCACGCCAAACAATGTGAACCCAGACAAACACGCCTCGGCTCCCAGTGATTAATGAGACATGGAGGGGGGAAAACAATAAAGAATGCAAAAAGTTTACTTAAAGG